AAGAAAAACTTACAACTGCAAGATCTTCTCCTGTCTAGAAGTGTTGTGTGTGTGATGTTTACACAGAGGAGCTGCAGTTAATTGGCTTCAGAGAAAATTAAAGCTCTTAAATATTTTGTCAGAAAAATAATGCCTTTTATTTCATGTAACTTCATTAATCTTTGGGAAATAAAGACAGTTTTCAAATTATTGTTGGTAAAATAAAGATGTCTTCAAAATTTAAACATTTGGTCTAAATGAAGCCAGAGGGTAGATTTGCTAAGGGCTCTAATGTCGTAAACTGCTTCTTTGACTTAGGAGAAGGGTTCACTTTACCTGGTTGGAGCCGTTAGATTTCTAGGTAAGGCCTGGGCACAGATTAGGCAGCAACCCTGAAAACAGACACTCATTATGGCCTAGAGAAAAAAAGAGGAAAGGACATTCTTGGCGCTAGTTTGGGAGGTTGTGTCAGTGAGCTGGGGGATGAGGATGCTGAGAACTGTCCTTAGCTATGCAGTGGAGGAGGAGGAGGAGGAGGAGGAGGAGGAGGAGGAGGAGGAGGAGGAGGAGGAGGAGGAGGAGGAGGAGGAGGAGTGGAGTCCATGCCATGGTGCAGATGCCCCAGAGCTCTGCTGAGGTAGTCACACTGCAGATCCCTCTTATCCACTCTCTAGCCGCACAAGAGAGAAGGCCCCTTCATGAAAATTTGCCTCTTTTCCCCTGCCCAACCAAATCACTCCCTGTGCCCAGAGTGTCACTCCCAATGGTGCGGTGACATTTCTGGGAGGTGCTGCTTGGGCTAGGCCTTGCTTCCTGCTCCCCAAGGGCCCAGAGAGGGCCCAGCTGCTGGCCCCAGTATGCCCTGAACGGAGACCAAGTTCAGGTGTCTGGTTTCCCAATTGAGACTCCCATACAGCCCTCAGCAGCAGGCCCACAGCACCCCCTGCTGCCCAAGCCCCGGTCTATGGTGCCTGTGACCAGATGCCAGAGGCTCCTGCCCCTACCAGCACCTTGACCATCACCTGTTCTTTGTCCAATGGCTGAGTGAGGCCCCTCCTTAGAGCAGCCTCCTACCTCTTCTCAGCCTTTAGTTTTCTAGTTAGGCCTCTTCATTGGGAACAGGACATATGACACACCTCGCTTTGTAAGGAGTCCTCAGGAATACACATCATATTTGGGAGCTGTAATGGGATAATTTACATTGAATAGAACCGAATGTTTCCGTTCTGCTGCAATGAAAATGTTGTGAGAATAGATAGACTGATTGTTTCATGGGCATTTGCATTCACAAAAACACATTAAACTGTGTAATTAAGACCTGCAAATTTTGCTTTCTATGTTATCTTTCTATATAATAAAAAGAAAAAATAGGACAAAATGCCTACCTTTCAGACAAAAACCAGTGGAATTTGCCACCAGCCAAACTTCTCTGAAGGAAATCCTAAAGCTGCTTTTTAATGAGATGAAAAATAATCTCAATAAGCAGCCCCCAAAATTAGGAATAAAAGCATTTTAAACAGTGGCTAAATATAGGTAAACTCAAAGGAAAATTGAATATATAAACAATGATTTTTTCCTCAGTTGGTGTGTCCATGCATGTACATGGAATGTAATGGTGCACATGTATGTAAGAATGAATATTAACAGGTATGTGTGCATATTTGTGAACATAGCATAACTATATTTCGATATTATGTAAATTGCTAGAGTAAATGGAATTGAAATTTTTACACTCAGATTCTATACTGCCTGAAGCTCTATTTTAAACACTGAGCTGCCCTAGTCTCTAGATTTCCCAAACGATCAAGGAGACAGATTTTCTACCTTGAAATAAAAACTTAATGTAGGCTGTCCCCACCCTACCCTCTGACCTGGATGCTCCCAGGCCGGAAGAAGAATGAGAAGAGGAGATAAGTTAGGCCATTTCCAAGGAAAAATTATCTTTCTGCTTTTTAGTACCCTGGGTCCAAACAGCTGAATTATTTTTACTGCTCACATATTGGATAAACCACTCACCAGTCTGTCTGAGGCACTTTAAAATTCTTATTTTATCTTTTTTAGAACCTTCATTTCTTACTCAAAAGTACATCCCAATCTCCAGTTAGTATGTAGCTATGTGGAAATAGAAAGAAAACAATTAATCTACTTTTCAAATATTATACTTTTACACCTAAATTATACATAGTTGGCTGGGTGTGGTGGCTCATGCCTGTAACCCCAGCAGTTTGGGAGGCCAAGGCAGGAGAATCACGTGAGCCCAGTAGTTTGAAACCAACCTGGGCAAGGTCTTTTGTAGACCTTGTCTCTACAAAAAATAAACAAAGTTAGCCAGGCATGGTGGTGTTTGCCTATAGCCTTAGCTGCTTGTAAAGCTGAGGTGAGAGGAATGCTTGAGCCATAATTGTGCCACTGCACTGCAGCCTGGGCAGCAGAGTGAGACACTGTCTCAAAAAAACATGCACATTGTATATTCTTAATTAAGGATTACATGATATAACTTTTCCATCTGTTTACTTTTATTTATTGTTTTCTGTAACTATAATTATAGATGTACATTGAGGTGAAAAAGTAGGAAATAAAGGTCCAGACTACACCTCTTCCAGTTTTCCCCAATGGTGATATCTTACACGATATGCAATATACAACATCAGAAGGAGGCAATTAACATTGAAGTAATGCTTTGTGCCATCTTAACTAGGTGTATATCTGTGTCATCTCTTTGTGCGAATATAATTCTATTTCTTGTAGACTCAACATAGTTGTCTCTTGTTTTTGTTTTTTTCTCAATGTGACAAACTCTCTCTTTTAATATATGTGCTTAATTTACATTTAATGAAATTGTTGGAAATAGATGTTCAGTGCTGCAAAAAAAAAAAAAAAATAGCACTGAGACAAAGGATCTTTCAGCAATGCTTTTTGCTTCCTGGACTGCAGGAAGGGTACTCTCACTAGCCATCTTGCCACGAGAGTAACATGAACAAAGGAAAACACACAAATTTATCCCTTAGACATTTGGGGTAGTCCTTACTGCTGTGTCTGATCTCCTTGGCTGGAGCCAGACTTCACAATTGACACTAAAACCCCATTGGCTAACAACTTAAAACTTTTCTAAACAGGTAAAAGCAATGCAGAGCTGGGACAGGACTGTGAGCACATCTGGCACAGATATCTTGGTTAAAGTATAAGGACATAGAATGTACTACACACCTGTAAGTATGGCGTGTTTAACAGCTACATAGGATAGGGCTTAACAAAGTTATTAGAACACTTACTCTTTAACAAGAAAGGAGACTTTAAAAAGGAACTTTTCTACTTCCCACAGAAATTATTCACATGGTTGGAATTACTCACATGACTGCTGACTAAAGTCAGGCAGTCAGTGGGTTGGCAGTTCCATGCCAGGAACTCACCCCTCAGCCCCATGCCCGTGGCTGCAGAGTGCTCAGTGCCATGGCCCACGCTCCAGCCAACGGTCAAGGAGGAGTGGATAAGCCAGGTTGGCAGGACACTCAGCAACCCCCAGGCCATCCCGGGGGAGCTCTGCTAGCCTGCTGTGTCGCCTGCAGCGCAGCCACCACCTGTATGCCTCCCTCTAGCGGCAGTGGTCAGGCAACCCCCATCTGCCCACCCCTTTCCTCAACCAGGACCGTAACCGTGTACACTGGCGCCAGACACTGCCACCACTGTCAACCAGGCCCTGTGAAGGCAGGAAGAATGAACTGGCTGCTGAGCCACCTCTGGTTGACCATGCAGTACCCATGTCTGTGTCCCCCGGACTCCTAGTGTGTGGTAAGACAGAGCAGACCCTCCGGCTTGGCCATGATGCAATGGACTACCAGGAGACCATCCAATAGAGAAGATCCACCAACCCGCACCAGCGCCCTAGGTACAGCCTCCACCTGCACGTCCGTCACCGGCAGCAACGACTGAACAATCTCTGATATTTCACGCCCTCCCCACCCTCGCCACAGGAGCAAGGATTCCCTGACAGGACGCTGCAGTGGTGGCTGTTGGGAAGTCAGCCAAGCAGGTACATAAGAATAAAGATAGACCCTCGGCCCCATCCCCGTGGCCACGACGTGCTCGTCCCCTGGCAGCCCCTCAGCCCTATCCTAGTGGCACGCAGGCAGCAGCCACCGCAACCCCGATTGCCCTTCCTCACACGTGCCCCCATCACACAACTTGGGTGTTGCGGTGGTGAAGTCTGGCTGTAGCCCCAGTGTCACCACGAGGCTGAGAACCGGCGCTGTCTCATCCCCGTGGCTGCAGAGTGCCCAGCACCAGATTCCGTGCCCGCAATTCAGGAGCAGCTGGCCAGAGCGGCGCAGTCTGCGGGGCCCTTGGGCGTGGCCGGGCGCGGCTCTGGGAAGCCGCGTCAGCCCAAGGGCGCCGCAGCTGCAGCCGCCACCAGCACAGGGACCAGCGGTCGCCGCGGATTGGGAATCCCCCACCAGGACTACGCCACCAACTGCGTGGACCCCGGAGCCAGCTGGGCAGCGAGCGGCAAGTCAGGCAGTCAGCGGCAGGAGCGCAGGGCCTGGACTTCAGCCCCTGGTGCAGGAGGCAAACACTCTCGGCCGCGTGGGCCGCACGCTCAGCGACCAGGAGCCCCGCCGCCCCCCGCCGGAGCCCGAGCTGCAGCCGCCACCTGCAAGTGGGGCGCAGGCTGCAGTGGTGGCAACCCCGGATCCCGCCCTCAGGCCTAGCGCGCATCAGCGCTGACCCTGGGACTACGCAGCGGCAAAGTCGGGCTGTGGCCCGGGCGGCTGCAACACGCGAAGGCCGCTCAGCCCTATCTCTGGGCTGCAGAGCGCCCAGCGCAGGGTGCTCCGCGTGTCGGGAGCCGGTGGAGGAGGGTAAGGGGGCGCGGGCGACAGTCAGACGGGCCCTGGGGCAGCGAGGAGCCTCGCGATCCAAGGAGCCCATCCTGAGGCCCCTCCGCAGCAACCGCCGCCTGCGCGTGGCGGGCTAGAGAGCTGTTCCCACGTTCTCCGCCTCGGGCTTGTGGGGCGGGACGGCTGAGGTGCGCATGCGCGCTGGTCCTCACGGTTCTGTTTGGCGTTTCTGCAGAGACGCGGGAGGCGCCAACCATCTGTGCGAAGGTTCGTGGCCTGAGCGCGTTGTTTTGCTTCGGAGGCGGCGATCCCCGAAGGCGAGTTAAGTATGGCTAAAGCTGGAAGCTTAAACCTACGTAATTTTTCAGTCAACAACTTGCGGCCGAAGAACCGCCAACTGTTGAGCGAAGACGATGTGGGCTGGGAGAGGCCCGTCATCCGCTGGCAGCACTTGTGGGGCGACGGCTTCTCGTGTTGCGAATACGAAATCAAATCATCTCATCTTCGAAAGATCCACAGAGCTGTCGTCCATTGTAAGCTAGAGAAACTGAAAACCATTCTGATCAGGGAAAATTGCATCAATGACAAAGACAAGAAGAACAGGTGAGGGGGTTCGGAGCTGGGGCTGCGGGAGGAGGCCTTCGGATGTGGGAGAAGTGCCCCTTCCAGGCTGGGGGTTGCGGGGTGGATGGTCTGGGGCTCGGGATATGGATTTGGGGGAGAGGGGGTGCCTGACTGGGGTGGGAGTGAGTGGAGCGGGGCCTGGGGAGTGGGGGTAAATGGGGTGGCGGGGTGGGTAGTGAGTTGGGGAATGGGAGTGGGGAGTAGGGGATGGGATGGGGGGTTGAATGGACTGAGGTGGATGGAATGAAGGCTTGGGGGTAGGGGCAAGGACTGTGTGAGGTGGGGAGATGGGGTGAAGGTTCATGGGGTAGAGGACTGGGGGTGGGGGTGAGGGTTGGGGGTGGATGGGGTGGGGGATAGGGGTGTAGGGGTGAGGGTGGGGGCGAGTCCTCTCACCAAAGGGTCTGGACTTTCTTCTTCCCTGGCCGGCTCAGCTGCACCTGGGATGTGGAAACCTCGGCAGGGGTGAGCACCCAGGCCATTTTCATGAGCAGCAAAGCAAAAACAAAACTTTAGTTGGTTTCTAATCACTCACCGTTCCCCTTCTTTATAAATCATTTTAAAGCGGGTTCGCTAATAAAATTCAGCATGTGCAGCGTTTTATTTTTAATGTACACATTTTAAAGCGTAGTGTTACATACATTATGGAAAGGTACATTATGAGAGAAATCATTTCCATAATATATCAACTTTATGGCTAAAATTATGTGGATAAAATCCAATCTTTAATTTGTATCAATGGACACCTATGTTAATATGGTTTTTACTGAGAGACCTTAGAGGGAAACTTTGAAGTGGGAAGATGGTCTATATTCTTGAATAGAAAGGCACATTTTTCTAAAGTTCTGAGCTCTTTCTGTGTTTATAAATTTTACATAATCCAAATAAACTTATCAAAGTGTTAACATTTTTGAATTACACATGCTTTTACTATTGTGATGTCATTAAGAAAACTTTGGAAATGGAGTCAAAAAAGACTTGCCTTTCTAGATAATGAAAACGTGATATTAATTTTCACAAGTTATTTACTAACAGCTGAAACAACATATCAGTCAATGGAACAGGTTAGAAAATCCAGGAATACCCCAATATATATAAGAATCTATTAGGTTGGTGCAAAAGCCATGGCAGTTTTTGCCACTATTAAAAGTAATGGCGAAAACCACATTTGTTTTTGCACCAATCTAGTAGAATTGGATAATGGTGACATTTCATATTAGTAGGAAAAGATGAATTACTCATAAATGAAGTGTCTGCTAAATATTTGGAGAAAACTAGCAAGATTTTTATATCACAGAAATAAGTTCCTTATGGAATGTAGATGAAAAATTTTAAGTGCACAAAATAAGAAAGAAAACAGAAAAAACACAAATGCTTACTTATATTGATACATGTTTATGTTCCTACAGATATCACAAGCACACATTCTGAAGGTCGATTTGGCAAAAATGAAAAAATTAAAACCTCCTGTTTATAAGAAAAAATAACAAGACAATAAGTATATATACATATTATATGAAAGAGTGATCTTCATTTTATAGAGAATTCTTCAAATCAGTAAGAGCTCTTATTTTTCCAGATATTCAAGCAACCTAGGCTGCTGAAACCAGCTCAGTTGTAGAGACCCCAACCCAGGCAGTGCTGAAGGAATTAAGAAACAGAAACAAAGATAGAGTTCAAAAGTGGGATCAGATTGGGACTGTCAGGGGGCTGACAGCATTTCCCAACTGAAAGCCCAGAGCAGCCTCTGACCCACATATTTATTCTTTGTGAACAAGTGATTATTTTTAATAAGCAGGTGCTCAGTGTTTCTTCATAGAATGAAGATAGACTAAACAGGCAGATAGTACCTGTTCATTACTAAAATAGAAATAAGTTAGAAAGCGCTCTTTGCAAGTCAGCAACAGGGACAAGGTCAAATATCCTGTGTTTTGGGAACTGGTTTAACTAGCGCATGAGTGGTACGTCTTGCCTACTATTCTAGCAGTTTTCTGCCTGGGGATGGCTCAGAGTTCCTTGCCATCACCTCTCGGCAAACAACATATACTCCATCACACACAAGTCAAGACCTTTTCCCAGCACTATGCACATAGGAAAAAATATTTAGTGTTCCTGGGAGGAGAAGGTATTTAAGTTAAATAAGGAATGAAATAGTGTTTTCTGTCCACAAGTTTGTGAGGGTAAAGAGGAGCAGTACATATACTGCTGTTTATAAAGTTTACATTTCTGATGACTTTTCAAAAATACTTGACAATTTGTTGACAAGTATTACACTTTAAAAATATATGTGCCCTTAACCCATCAATTCCATTATACTAAAATATCTCTAGGAAATAGAGATACGTGCAATTTTTTTTTTCTCAGCACTGCTTAAAACAGCAATGCATTGGGAAAATCCCATATAGTAGATTATACAAATTTTATAAAATTAGAAATAAATTTCAGTATATCCATAGGATGGGACAATACGGGACCTTTGCAGGTGTCAGTAGATACAGACATATGTTGATGTGTAAAAATGCACTTTGAAAAAAATTGGTTTGATTATACATATACACAGTCTTTGGTGTTTGTAAGCCAAATAAGTGTACAGAATATAACATTTCTTCTTTTCTGGCAGGTATATTGTGATTTTTTTCTTGTCTATGATGTATAAATGATGAACATGTATAAAACTTCTAGTAAATGTTTTTTTTATTAAGGAAATTATCCTTGGGAAGAGAAGAAATATAAATCTTGCCCAGAAGAAAATAATTCTCACTTTTGATTTTATTTTGTTTTTAATTATTTATTTGTTTATTTACTTACTTTGAGGTGGAGTCTTCCCCTGTCACCCAGCCTGGAGTGCAGTGGCATGATCTCAGCTCACTGTAACCTCCACCCCAGGTCCAAGCAATTTTCCCAGCTCCGCCTCCTGAGTAGCTGGGATTATAGGTGTGCACCACCATGACTGGCTAATTTTTGTATATTTTAGTAGAGATAGGGTTTCACCGTGTTGGCCAGTCTGGTCTCAAACTCCTGACCTCAAGTGATTCCCCCCGTCTTGGCCTCCCAGAGGGCTGGTATTACAGGCATGAGCCACTGTGCCTGGCCTCATTTTTATTTTTGTTTATTGGTATCTTCTGTGAACTTTTAGCCTCTTCAGAGGTAGAGAGAATATTTTTATTTGTGCTCATTTATTATGCATAGATTTTAGTATATACATCTTTTAATTATAGTTTTATTACATATATGCAAACAATTTTAAGTTCATTTACCAGGCCCTCATGAAAATGAAAATGAGCAAATATAAGTAAGTGATTATTACTATCTCATAACCACTGCTTTAATTTATAGTTTTCTTTCATAATAAACTCCCCAACTGTATGTGTGTATTCTTTCAATCCAGTTATTCATCAAACATAAGCTGATACCTATTGTGTAGCAGACACATTCCACTGTCTCTCAGGACTGTTCAACTTTATGTTGAACAACTTCACGTTTACCTTCCCAGCCTGAGCAAGCTGAGAGATTTAAAATAGAAATATTAGGACTGAATCCCAGTTGGATCTTTCATTCCCTTTTTTTTTTTTTGAAACAAAAGCACTTCTGAAGTTAGAAAATAGTAAAAGGCAACCTTTAACTGCCCTTTCAAAAACGATGACAGTCTCAACTACCACTATTAATCATTGCAAATACCTAATTTACATAACAGTCTATAAATCTAAGTATTGAAAAATATGAGCCACACCTATTCATTTGATTGATAGCCACACCTATCAATTTTTTTTTAAATTGAAGTAAGAATTACTTTAAGAATTTGTTGTTTTGATAACATATCTAACATGTGTTTTATTAAAAAAAAAGAGTTTGTTGTTTTTATTTTGGTCTTCTTTTTCCATAGTACTTTATTTAGGTGCTAATTACGTGAGTAGAACTGCCTGTTCTATGTACTGTATCCCATTTAATGTAAGGCACTATGGATTGAGTGCTACCACATTACTTTATATATCATTAAGAGAATGTTTAAAATGTTGCCAGTTATAATTGTAATAAATAATGAATTGTAAATGGTATTCCAGTTTCAGGAGATGTTAATATATAAGCGAATAGTAGCTTATATAAGAGAATAATGAGAACATGAACATCTGAAAATGATTGAAATGCATTGATGCTTCTAATCTTAAATACATACCTCAATGTAGATATGATTGTATCATCTTAACTAAATAAAATGTCTTTGTAAATAGTCATATTTAAAAATTATTGAGCTGTCATTTGTGTGAGGAACTGTTCTAAGTGCCATACATAGATTCTGATGGAAGCATCACAGTGTTGTTCTGTGGGATAGCTACTATTCTCTTATATATTTTCTTGATGAGGAAATTGAAGCAAAGAAAGGCTAAATTTTAGCTAAGTGACAGAGCGTAAAGTAAAATTCAGGCCCCCACGTAAACTGAATCCAAAGGCCAAGCTTTTTCTGTTAAATAGCCTGCTCTTTCATTAATATGGTGAGTATTAAGGGCTAACAAAGACTGTACTTTCTTTATAAGAAAATTAAATTTTTTTGAAGACAGAGAAATAACATGCTAATTAAGTTCTGGGATACATGTGCAGGACATGCAGGCTTGTTACATAGGTATACATGTGTGATGGTGGTTGGCTGCATCCATCACCCTGTCAATTACATGTTTTAAAAAGTCCTCTCATTCTCACAGGACTGCTCTACATTTGGCCTGTGCCACTGGCCAATCTCAAATGGTAAAACTCCTGGTAGAGAACAATTGCCAGCTTAATCTCCTCGACAGTGAATGCAGGACACCTCTGATCAAGGTATATAGAAGCCAACTCTGAGCGTGAGATGGATTTGGTTTAAGTACATAGAATAAAATGAATTTGTCTCATTGTAATACCACTATATAATTGGTTGGTAAATCCTGTGGAGTGTTCATTTTGATTTTCCAGTATTTGCAATCTTTTTCTTGGTCTAATATTGACAGGCTATACAACTTAAGCAGGTGTCTTGTGCAACTATTCTGCTGGAAAATAATGCGGATCCAAATATTATGGATTACTATGGCAGGACTGCTCTACACTATGCTGTGTATAATGAAGATACAGCCATGATAGAAAGTCTACTTTCACATGGTACAGATATTGAAAGAAGCAGCAAGGTATAGATCAACCAATGTTATTTTCAAACTACCTGAAATGCATTTATTTTAACATATAAGGATCAATTTTTCATATTTGGAATCTCAAATATTCCTTGAATGAAAATATTTTTAAATGCCTTAACTGTCTAAGATTTTACTTTAAATAGTGGAACTTTTAAAGAAGCATTACAGGGTACCGCTTTCTTTCATGCACTTATGGTAAGTAATTAGAGCAAAAAATGAATTACAATAAATTTGTAATTCATGGTAACTGAATTTGGGAAAGGTAATAGTTAAGTTTTTTTTCCACTAAATTACTCTTTTTTTCTGATTAGTGTAAAGTGACACAGGAAAGTAAAATTTGCCCTTGTAAATATGCTTTATTTTAAATTTCAAAGAAAATTAAAGCATTTCACAATAAATGTAAATCTTGCTGCTGTTGACAAGTAATGTATGTGAAGGTGATTTCATTTGAAAGTGCACTTTGGGGGGCCAAGGTGGGCAGATCACGAGGTCAGGAGTTTGAGACCAGCCTGACCAACATGGTGAAACCCCATCTCTACTAAAAATACAAAAATTAGCTGGGCGTGGTGGTGCGTGCCTGTAATCTCAGCTACTCAGGAGGCAGAGGTTGTAATGAGCCGAGATCATGCTACTGCACTCCAGCCTGGGTGACAGAGCAAGACTCTGTCTCAAAAAAAAAAAAAAAAAAAATAAGTGATTCCCCTGTGGAAAGGCGGCTTAAGAGGGAAAAATGAAAAGGAGAGAATTCAGAAATACACAAGCTAATTTGGAAACTTGGTAATGAGAGAAAATACTGAGAAGAGGTTTTTGTGTGTGTGTTGTTTTCAATTTATATGTTTAGACAAGATTCTCTTTGGTTTTGGGGATAATCATTCTTATTTTGGGAAAGAGTTTGTAAGTTGTAAAATTGCCTGTGGATCAATTTTGGTAGGACTCTGAGGAAACCAGATTGGCAGTGAATAGTGGGGATGAAGTGGGACACAGTTCAGCAGAGAGCAGAACACATAAATAATGGACATTATTCAATTCTGGCAGAAACAACCACCTAGATAAGCATCTAAACTCTACTCTCAAGTTCAGAATGTCTTTATGGGCAGGTGGGAGATAAGGAGCTTATATACCGTAAAATCAAGTTGGATTTTGAGTTTACTATTCTATTCTCTATCCCTACCCAGAAAAAGTAAATGGAGTTTTCAGTGAATGGCTCTATCTTTTGCTCTTTTTTTGGCCAAATCTCAAATGATAAAGGGGATTTGCTATGTGGATGAGAGATGAGACTGAAGTGATTATCAACTGCGTTAGTTTGAAGCTAGAATTGTGCATGACAGTAGCCTGAGGAAATTAAAAGCAAATCTATAAGTCTAGAATATCCCCTGAAGGTTTTAATATAGCAAATCTAATACAGCCTGGACATGTATGTTTTAAAACATTTCCTTGAAGCTGGGCACGGTGGTGCATCTAGCTAGAGCAACAGAGTAAGAACCGGTCTCTAGCAACAACAACAACAAGTTTCTTGAGATACTGATACACTACTGATTAAGAACCACTGTATAGATAAAAGTATAATATAAATTCCCCTATCTCAAAAACTTAAGAAATCTCCAGAAGGGTTGGAGTTTGATAGGTGCTGCTTCCTTTAAATCTCTCCTTCCCAATAATATTAGCCTTTTATCTGTCTCTACCTCTGTGGTTGGGAAGTTAGAAGGACTATTATTTGCAGTATCTTTCAGCTTAAGACCCTTTCTTTGCCACCGTCACTTATTCACTGCCATTCAGAGGGTCGTTAGGAATTTGCTATTGGATAGTGTTTTAATAAGTAGAGACTGACTCAGGATTTTGAGTCTCTTTGTTGTCATTCTGGTGATTAGGTCAATACATCATTATTAAAAGCAGGGTTCTCTCAATTGCATTAGTAATAAATTCTAAACCTTTTTTTTTTTTTTTTCTTTTTTTTTTTTTAATTTTTTATTGGATTATAGGTTTTGGGGTACATGAGCAGAGCATGCAAGACAGTTGCGTAGGTACACACATGGCAGTGTGCTTTGCTTTTCTTCTCCCCTTCACCCACATTTGGCATTTCTCCCCAGGCTATCCCTACCCACCTCCCCCTCCCACTGGCCCTCCCCTTTTCCCCCCAATAGACCCCAGTGTTTAGTACTCCCCTTTCTGTGTCCATGTGTTCTCATTTTTCATCACCCACCTATGAGTGAGAATATGCGGTGTTTCATTTTCTGTTCTTGTGTCAGTTTGCTGAGGATGATGTTTTCCAGATTCATCCATGTCCCTACAAACGACACGAACTCATCATTTCTGATTGCTGCATAATATTCCATGGTGTATATGTGCCACATTTTTCCAATCCAGTCTATTATCACTGGGCATTTGGGTTGATTCCAGGTCTTTGCTATTGTAAACAGTGCTGCAATGAACATTCGTGTACATGTGTCCTTATAGTAGAACGATTTATAGTCTTTTGGATATATACCCAGTAATGGGATTGCTGGGTCAAATGGAATTTCTATTTCTAAGGCCTTGAGGAATCGCCACACTGTCTTCCACAATGGTTGAACTAATTTACACTCCCACCAACAGTGTAAAAGTGTTCCTTTTTCTCCACATCCTCTCCAGCATCTGTTGTCTCCAGATTTTTTAATGATCGCCATTCTAACTGGCGTGAGATGGTATCTCAATGTGGTTTTGATTTGCATCTCTCTGATGACCAGTGACGATGAGCATTTTTTCATATGATTGTTGGCCTCATATATGTCTTCTTTCGTAAAGTATCTGTTCATATCCTTTGCCCACTTTTGAATGGGCTTGTTTGTTTTTTTCCTGTAAATCTGCTTGAGTTCTTTGTAAATTCTGGATATCAGCCCTTTGTCAGATGGGTAGACTGCGAAAATTTTTTCCCATTCTGTTGGTTGCCGATCTGCTCTAGTGACTGTTTCTTTTGCCGTGCAGAAGCTGTGGAGTTTCATTAGGTCCCATTTGTCTATTTTGGCTTTTGTTGCCAATGCTCTTGGTGTTTTGTTCATGAAGTCCTTGCCTACTCCTATGTCCTGGATAGTTTTGCCTAGATTTCCTTCTAGGGTTTTTATGGTGCCAGGCTGGACCCCTTCCTGACACCTTACACTAAAATTAACTCCAGATGGATTAAAGACTTAAACATAAACCTTTTTTTTAAGCTGAAGGTCTATTATGGACTGACTTAGTATGTCAGGTACATAGAACAATGCATAATCAGGATAGCAGTTTTAAACACTGAAAACCATGAAGTTAGTAAGAATACGGAGAGGTATCCTTTTAATGATTTACTTTCAGCAGTCCTATAAACTAATTATCCATTTGGTGAACAATCTGGGTTTTTTTGTTTTTGTGGGTATTTTTTGAGAAGGAGTCTCGCTCTGTCTCCTGCAGGCTGGAGTGCAGTGGCATGATTCCCCAGGTTCAAGCAGTTCTCTGCCTCAGCCTCCCAAGTAGCTGGGATTGTAGGCACCCACCACCATGCTCAGCTAATTTTTGTATTTTTCGGAGAGAAGGGGTTTCACCATGTTGCCCAGGCTGGTCTCGAACTCCTGACCTCGTGATCCACCGGCCTTGGCCTCTCAAAGTGCTGGGATTATAGGCGTGAGCCATTGCACCTGGCTAATCTGGGAAAAGTAAACAAATTATAAATGAATGAATGTTGTAAGAGTGCTTGAAGTGGTTATTATGACTTTTAATACTAATTTTTATTGCATTCTTGAGTCTGTTTTAGAAAAAAAAATCTGAAACAAAAGAAAAGAAGTATTTTGCATGAAAATACTTGCTTTATGCACAACCACTTAGAGACATATCCATAGCAAATATAAAAATACAAGGTCTATAGTCTAAATGTGGCCCATAGACATGTTTAGTTTGCCTCTATAAATTGTGTCAACATGTAAGGTTTGGGAGACTGTACACAGATCTGGATTCCCGGCTTCTCTTAAAGAATCTAGTCTGGTGTCCCTTGAGCCCATCTCACTGTTCAGGATGCTATCCAGCGGTTGCCCCTTTCTATGAGGCATGTGGTCTTCATTTTGCTGCTGTGCCTACTTAGGTACTTCAGCTCCTCAGGTCATCTCCCTTGCCTCTGTAAGGATGACTTTACAAGCCCTGTTTTATAGTATATTTTAGTAAATATTTCAAGGTTTTCAAGATATTTTATATTTATTCAAATATGTAGTCTATATTTTATATAAATTCTTTAGTAATGGGGTTGAATTTTGAATTTAGACAGTGTTTTATAAACTATTTTTCTTATATATACTGTAAATAATCATCTTCCCATTAGAATGCATGTAAGCTTTTTCAGGTTTATCAATGGTATAGTTGCATAGGTTATGCATATTGCCAACAATATTATATCTTTCTCTTCAGCATTGTCTCCTAAAAATGCAGGTAATTTAGTGATTTTTATTATGCTATAAATAATTCATATAGGCAATTATTAGAGCTTTAATTGATAAGCCATTGTATTTTTATTTCTGATTTATATTTTATGTAAAATAAAAAAGTTTTAAGTAACAATATGGAAACTAGAATACAAATAAATGTTAAAACGAGTTATGTACCAGGGTCCTAAGACTATAATTACATAATCATTTGCACCAGGGTCCTGAGATTGTAATTGAGAATAACATTTCACACAGAGCTTTCTCACAGCTAAGATAAAAATGCTACTAGAGAAAACCCATGGACTATTTAATAATACACAGTGAAAGTTTATTTGAAGCCTATCTCTTTTTAATTCAGAGATCCGGGTTCTGAATTAAAAGAGATAGGCTTCAAATGAACTGTCAATCGTGTCAGAATCTCAGATGACAATGTCAGGTGCTCCCCAGGAGATTCTGACACCGTTCATAGAATCAATAGCGTGTATACCCAGAGGAAACCTCCACCTTTATTGGTAAGCTCTCACAACTGTATCCCTGAAACTCTAATCCCTCAAATGTTAATGTTCTACATGAAAGGTATTGACAAATAGGGATTAGGTGAAGTTCCAAAGATTTCTCAAATACTAGTTGCATACTGCACAGTTTTGTAACATTTTTCAAACATGGGTGGTGATGGAGTCTTTCTTTTGGGGTCTTTCTTCAACTTCTGGTAAAGTAAGTATTCGTTGGAATGTATTAATATTTTAAGAAACACTGCTCATAGATAACAATTTAGATCATTAATAAAAATACTTGAAACATTTGTTACTGTGTCTTAGGGTTTGAGGACATAGAGAAAAAAATTACAGCTCTTGCTCTCAAGAAGCTGTTGGTTCAGGTGGGAAACAATAAAATCCTTACAAAATACCATGCCAAATGCGGTGACAGAAGCAGAGATTTTTGGAACTGGTAGATGTTTGAAATGAGTTTTAGAGATGACCAGAGTTCTTACAGTGAGGCAGAGAAGGGTTGTTTCCAGGGGAGGGAGCAGCACATAGAAAAGCACCGAGGAGTGAAAAGAAAGAGGCTACTTCTTATGTTCTTTCAATTGCATATATTTAAGCTCATAGGATCTTACATAAGGTTTTCAATTCAGTTGATAAATGTGTGACTTTGTGAATTATAAATCATTGCTGTTGTTTTACAGGAAGAACCTCCACCACTTTTACTTGCTGCGAGTCAAGGAAAACTGAAGATGGTGGAATTTTTATTAAAGAAAAACGCAAATATAAATGCACTTGATTCACTTAACAGGTACAGACCTTAGTTCTTGTTATGTTGTTTTAAAACCTGAGTGTCATTTTAGAGTGCTAGCAGTCACTCAAGTCAGAAATTACATTAATAAAAGACTAACTTTTAATGATTGGGATATAGTGAGAAATATCAACACAGATTATAATTTAGGTAGAAAAACAATTATTTGGACGGAGTAACATAAAGAAGAGTGTTGGTAGGATTTGTCTCTATAGACACTATCCACACAGAAGACTTCTCTATATGGAAGTCTCTGTATATTGACAGATGTTTGTTATTTGTAATATGATATGTTACTTATAATGTAATAATGTGATGTTTTTGATTGTATGATTTTATCTTAGCTAAAGGGGTTTCATGCTTTTCATTTCTACTGTGTTTTGCTGTTGTTTTTAATTGATATGGGGAGAGGGAGAAAAGATAGCTTTAAATGGGTAAAACCTTAATGAAGACAAGCTTTAGGTTAACACAGGACTGGGTTTAATCCCAAGCTTTCCCACTTGCTAGAAGTGTGACCTTGGGAATACTACTTATCACCAAGTATGTTTTCTTACATGAGAAGGAGGATTATAATATATTCTTCAAGTGTGGTTGTGTATAAGTAACATTATATATATATAATGTTAGAATGTCCAGCTAACACAGCAAGGTGCTGGTGTTTTGGAAACAATGGCTAAGCATGTAAGTATGTGCTCACATATGTGTGTGTGTGTGTGTGTGTGTGTGTGTGTATGGTTACACACAACCACCCTTAAAGGATATATTATCCTCCATATATATATGTGGCATTTAATTAAGTGCCTAACACATGCTTATCAGTATCATTAACTGAAACTATGGCTATTATTAGCATTCCTATTAATATTATTGTTTTAAGCCTACAGATAGTTCTTATCTGACCCCTTAGTTGATTTTGCATTATAAAATATCAGACTAGGGAAGATAAGAATAATTGTTCACTTAAATTTGCCTACTTTAGATAGGTGGCCAGAGCATAGTTTCTTGCCCATCAAAGGACTTTAAGTCAGCAATTTTAACTATGTCATACCACAGTGGGACAAGAGGCTTCCTTTTTGTTCCTTGCTTTTAACCTTTGTGATAATTTACAAAGATAAACCCTTGAGCACCCAAGATGGCTTGTTTATTAGTACATGCAACTGGGTTAATTCTACATGGACAAGCAAGATATTAAGTTGATGAAGTATATAAATTTAGCTTTTAAAAACATTATTAGATTTCTTAATTATCTCTCTCTTATTTTAGATCAGCCCTCACACTTGCTGTTCGTCGTGAACACAGAGATACAGTCATTCTTCTTCTGCAGCACAATATTGATGTGTTTTCTCAAGATGTCTATGGGAAGACTGCAGAAAATTATGCTGCTGATTCTAAAAATAAAATGTAAGTCTTTACACAAAAAGGCTTTTCTCATTAGGGATTCCAATGTTCATTTTATTTCAAGTATGACCCCTATGCATAGGATAAAGTAGTTTCACATCTTTGATTTTTCTAATTAGTTATTTGATCTTGAAATGTCTAGTTTATTGAAAAAATCTTGTGGTGTTTACTGGGGACCATCTACTATAGCCTGATCCTTGAATTTTTCAAGAACCTAAGGGGTTCCCTAAGTTCAAGGAAGACAAATAGTTTCTATAAGTCAGAAAGGGAGGGGGAAAGGACATGTTAATCATTGTTTTGTTTTCATTGATTCTGTTGCTGCTTTCTTGCTATCAAAAATGCTCCTATAGCCTGGTAATGATTAACCTTTGCCACCCTTTGATGCCCTTTCTGTTTGATATTGCTCAGTGTTCACATTGATCCATTAAAAAACTTCAAAGTTACAACTATTTTTTAGTTCACATGCATACATTATATGCTCAGTCATTGTTTCCAAAACACCAGAACCTTGCTCTGTTAGCTGGACGTTCTAACTTTATGAATACACATAGTGAGTAAATTGACACTTTCACCCACACTCAAAACCTGATGTAGAGCCCACATTTTAAGCTGGACTTCAAGACCTTCATGGTGAGTTATTTTTTGAGTCCCTTGGCTTTTTTGATTTTTGTTTTTTTTTTTCTTTAAAGCAAATATTAGTTAGGATAGTTTAATGTTGTAGAAAGAAATTACACTTTTTTTTTATTGCTACCAGATATGTACCCTGAGACTTTTAAAATAAACAGTGTAAGAGCTTTTCTCAGGTAGTGGAAGCTTCTATGCCATCCTTCCTTAGAGTAGTAGGCATCAACTTGTGGTTAGCCCCTCAAGTGGTCTGTTTTCTATAATAATGAAGATTTCTCAAGCTATTTGCATCACACTCTCAAGTATTTAAAATATTTTTAAATTCTGCTTTACAAGAAGTCATTCATCAGAATTATCTGAGTCTCAAGTTGGTTAGTTAGATTTAACAGAACTAAGCCTCATCCATGGCTCATCAGCATTTATATGTAAAAGTAAGGCTTTGTGCTTGCTTTGGCAGCACAAAGACTAAAATTGGAACAATACAAAGAAAATTAGCATGGTGAAGCATTTCATATTTTGTAGTCACGGGAAGGTCATTTGGCTGCTGGCCAGCTAATAGTTTGAATCAAAACAAAATGGGTGGCACCTTATATTAGAATTGTGATTTTCGTTACAAAGGTGATCTATAAACTGAGAATGGAGCTAAGTGACACATGGGGTGTTGTATAAATATTTTGTTAGTATGTATCTTGGAAATGAGAAAATGTCAACTTTCATCTACTTTATGGAACTTAAAAAAAATGAAAGTAGGGCTTTGTCTTCCATGTCAGTTGGAGATAACATGGAGATTATCACTCTAGTAAACATCTCCTGGTTCAGTTAGAATCTGTAGAGAAGTGATAGTGGTAGCCCAAGCCAGATCTTGACATCTGTTAGCTTTCTCTCCTTGGAATTGATGAGCTCAGTAATAGTGGACAATCATGTTACCTACTTTAATGAAATAATGTATTCATAAATACATTTATTTACAAATTATGAAATAATTGAGATGCCCTGAATTATAAGCCACAAATAATAGAACAATAAACAAAATTAGGGCTTAACATTTTTTTTAAACTGAAGCATTTGATTATGGTAACCTATGAAAAATACACATTGGGTTTGATATGGGATTTCAAAATAGTTCCAGCAATAAAATTTAAGAACAGATTCCACTGCTTTACTGTTTCTCTGTGAATGTTAAAAATGTTACTTCATTAAACCTGTAAAACAACCTCTTAAAAGAAGGCAGTACAGTCTAGAAGAAGACATTGCGCCTACGAGAAGCAACTTGTTTAACAGCAAATACCTGTAGGCTATAGAGCCAGAACTTAGCAGTAAGAGCCAGGAAGGTGACTTTCTATTATGTCAAGGTGATCTGAGTTAGTTTATGAGCTATACTGCCTTCACTTCATGAGTACTTCACCTGTCTTTATTATTTAATTAGAAAGGTACTCAGAAGTTTGTAGAGCTTACAGAAGAGAAGTGTATAGGATAATTAATATCCTGATACTGTTTAAAATACTCTAGTAATTTAGTATATTTGGTAAATGTTTTTAATAATAGTATTAAAATAAAATTTCCTTTATTAATTTTATGCATAGCATTCTCAAGCTAATTTCTGAATACAAAGAAGAAAAGAAATCTAAAGCGCTTTCTATAAATAGCAATCCAGGTAAGATTTCTGACAGTGAATTACTCTTGATGGTATTACCATAGATAAAAAAGAATAAGGATGTTTTGATTACAAAAAAGCACTGTTTAAATGGCATGCATTTAAAAAATACTTTCTTCGTAGTCTAGATTTCATAATTATTTAAAGTTAATTGTAGATAATTTATAATCTGAAATAATATTGTTTGAAAAAATTATTTATGATTCCTAATATACTAGATGATCTTTTTGTCTAAATAAGAAAACAAATTTTAAGTTATGCTGTGTTTTCTTTATAGTCACATTATAATGAATTAGACTTTTTATTTAATTAGAACTTCTATTTAATTTGTATAATAAATTCTTTGCAGCTAGTAAATGAACAATAATTACAATTGACCTTTGAATAGCATGGTATTTAGCTCTGCCAGTCCCCATGCAGTTGAAAATACATATTTGGTATGTTGTATGTATTATATACTGTATTCTGTGTACCAGAAAGTAAGCTAGAGAAAGGAAGCTTTTGCAGTAGTTAAAGCTGTAGTTTCCTTGTAGTTCAATCCTAGAACTACACTCAAGCTTGTGTGAGGTATTTACCCTTCCATGGTAAAATAAATAAATAAATAAAGTAAACTCCATTTACTCATTTTAAAATGTTGGTCTTTTTCTTGGCCTTGTGCCTTCATTTGTTTTGCTTAATTTTTCCTTATATTTATAAAAATGCAATAATAATTGATAGAGATTTTTCTCTTGTGAAAGCCATCAGTGAAGAGGCCACGTTGACTTAGGAAATATAAACATATTTATGTTGTGGCAGTAGATATATAAAGCAGAAGCAGAAAAGAGGTACAGTTAATATGATTTAGTGAACATTGAATGTAAAACATTAGGGTGCAGAGAGAAATCCTGGACCATTCATAGGTTTCCAGGTTGTGTGCTAGCCTTTATACCGCACACAAGAAAGGAGTAGGACATGTTCAGTGAATGGAGAAGTACAGCTGGTCAACAGGGAGGAATAATTTCCTTCTCTCCAAATCTGAGGTTGGAGATGCAGACATAGATTGATGTTGTTCTAATAGGCAAAGTCATTGATCTCAATGAGCTGTCCATGATGCAGATGTAGAATGAGAAGGCATCCAGTGACAAAACCCTGGGAATGTCAATATTTCCCCCCTACCCCTAGAAAAAAAAGAATTGGTTAAGGAGAATGAGCAGTGGCTAGAAAAAAGTAGGAGAGGAGTCAGAGGAAGTGATATTGCAAAAATAAAAAATGTGAGGATTTCAAGGAGGGAGTATTAATTCTAACAAGTAAGATGACTAAAAAGTCAATTAGATTTAACTTTTAAAAGCTCTTTGGTGGTGCCCTTTTCAAAAGAACTGTTTTTGAGGTGTAAGGTGCACTATTGATGTGATTGGTATGTTTGGTTGTCCAAATATGGAGGAATAAATCTATGAAAATCCTGCCTAACTCTTTTGTAACTGCAGAAGCTACATGCACAGGGACAGGGAAAATGTCTTGACTTCTGAGTACATGTGCCAATGCTTTTACAGAATTGTCAAAACCTAAGGGTGATGTGTGAGAAGAAACTGTGGTCTTCTTATGTGCTCCTTGTGGAAATACTGAATTTGTACTGAAGTCCCTGATACGTTCTTTTGGGTGCATTCTGAAACCAAAGTCTGGCAGCAATAACTGCAACCAACTTCTCCAAAGCACATACACCCCAAATCACTCCAACATAGAATCATAACACAGCTGCATTTCAAGAGTTTCTAGTTTCAGTCAGAAGTAGTTTACAGATCAGCAGTTTGGAGAAGCTAACATCTTTTATATAATATCATGGAGAAAAATATAAGGTGATATGCTAAATATACCAGTTCTCTGTGTGCTGGGACAATTTGTTTAAATGCATTTTCCTTTCCTTTTTTTTTTAATTTTTAATTGGATTTTAGGTTTTGGGGTACATGAGTAGAGCATGCAAGACAGTTGCGTAGGAACACACATGGCAGTGTGCTTTGCTTTCCTTCTCCCCTTCACCCACATTTGGCATTTCTCCCCAGGCTATCCCTCCCCACCTCCCCCTCCCACTGGCCCTCCCCTTTTCCCCCCAATAGACCCCAGTGTTTAGTACTCCCCTTTCTGTGTCCATGTGTTCTCATTTTTCATCACCTGCCTATGAGTGAGAATATGCGGTGTTTCATTTTCTGTTCTTGTGTCAGTTTGCTGAGGATGACATTCTCCAGATTCATCCATGTCCCTACAAATGACACAAACTCATCATTTCTGATTGCTGCATAATATTCCATGGTGTATATGTGCCACATTTTTCCAATCCAGTCTATTATCAATGGGCATTTGGGTTGATTCCAGGTCTTTGCTATTGTAAACAGTGCTGCAATGAACATTCGTGTACATGTGTCCTTGTAGTAGAACGATTTATAGTCTTTTGGATATATACCCAGTAATGGGATTGCTGGGTCAAATGGAATTTCTATTTCTAAGGCCTTGAGGAATCGCCACACTGTCTTCCACAATGGTTGAACTAATTTACACTCCCACCAACAGTGTAGAAGTGTTCCTTTTTCTCCACATCCTCTCCAGCATCTGTTGTCTCCAGATTTTTTAATGATCGCCATTTTAACTGGCGTGAGATGGTATCTCAATGTGGTTTTGATTTGCATCTGTCTGATGACCAGTGACGATGAGCATTTTTTCATATGATTGTTGGCCTCATATATGTCTTCTTTCGTAAAGTGTCTGTTCATATCCTTTGCCCACTTTTGAATGGGCTTGTTTGTTTTTTTCCTGTAAATCCGTTTGAGTTCTTTGTAAATTCTGGATATCAGCCCTTTGTCAGATGGGTAAACTGCAAAAATTTTTTCCCATTCTGTTGGTTGCCGATTCACTCTAGTGACTGTTTCTTTTGCCGTGCAGAAGCTGTGGAGTTTCATTAGGTCCCATTTGTCTATTTTGGCTTTTGTTGCCAATGCTTTTGGTGTTTTGTTCATGAAGTCCTTGCCTACTCCTATGTCCTGGATAGTTTTGCCTAGATTTCCTTCTAGGGTTTTTATGGTGCCAGGTCTTATGTTTAAGTCTTTAATCCATCTGGAGTTAATTTTAGTGTAAGGTGTCAGGAAGGGGTCCAGTTTCTGCTTTCTGCACATGGCTAGCCAGTTTTCCCAACACCATTTGTTAAACATGGAATCCTTTCCCCCTTGCTTGTTTTTGTCAGGTTTATCAAAGATTGTATAGTTGTAGATATGTTGTGTTGCCTCCGGTGCCTCTGTTTTGTTCCATTGGTCTATATCTCTGTTTTGGTACCAGTACCATGCTGTTTTGATTACTGTAGCCTTGTAGTATAGTTTGAAATCCGGTAGTGTGATGCCCCCCCGCTGTGTTCTTTTTGCTTAGAATTGACTTGGCTATGCGGGCTCTCTTTTGGTTCCATATGAAGTTCATGGTGGTTTTTTCCAGTCTGTGAAGAAAGTCAATGGTAGCTTGATGGGGATAGCGTTGATTCTGTAAATTACTTTGGGCAGTATAGCCATTTTCACGATATTAATTCTCCCTAACCATGAACATGGAATGTTTCTCCATCTGTTTGTGTCCTCTCTGATTTCGTTGAGCAGTGGTTTGTAGTTCTCCTTGAAGAGGTCTCTTACGTTCCTTGTGAGTTGTATTCCAAGGTATTTTATTCTTTTTGTAGCAATTGTGAATGGCAGTGCGTTCTTGATTTGGCTTTCTTTAAGTCTGTTATTGGTGTAGACGAATGCTTGTGATTTTTGCACATTGATTTTATATCCTGAGACTTTGCTGAAGTTACTTATCAGTTTCAGGAGTTTTTGGGCTGAGGCGATGGGGTCTTATAGGTATACTATCATGTCGTCTGCAAATAGAGACAATTTGGCTTCCACCTTTCCTATTTGAATACCCTTTATTTCTTTTTCTTGCCTGATTGCTCTGGCTAGAACTTCCAGTACTATATTGAATAGGAGTGGTGAAAGAGGGCATCCTTGTCTAGTGCCAGATTTCAAAGGGAATGCTTCCAGTTTTTGCCCATTCAGTATGATATTGGCTGTTGGTTTATCATAAATAGCTTTTATTACTTTGAGATATGTTCCATCGATACCGAGTTTTTGAGGGTTTTTAGCATAAAGGGCTGTTGAATTTTGTCAAATGCCTTCTCTGCGTCAATTGAGATAATCATGTGGTTTTTGTTTTTGGTTCTGTTTATGTGGTGAATTACGTTGATACACTTGCGTATGTTGAACCAGCCTTGCATCCCCGGGATGAATCCTACTTGATCATGGTGAATAAGTTTTTGATTTGCTGTTGCATTCGGCTTGCCAATATTTTATTGAAGATTTTTGCATCTATGTTCATCATGGATATTGGCCTGAAGTTTTCTTTTCTTGTTGGGTCTCTGCCGGGCTTTGGTATCAGGATGATGTTGGTCTTGTAAAATGATTTGGGAAGTATTCCCTCTTTTTGGATTGTTTGAAATAGTTTTAGAAGGAATGGTACCAGCTCCTCTTTGTGTGTCTGGTAGAATTCAGCTGTGAACCCGTCTGGACCTGGGCTTTTTTTGTGTGGTAGGCTCTTAATTGCTGCCTCAACTTCTGACCTTGTTATTGGTCTATTCATAGTTTCAGCTTCCTCCTGGTTTAGGCTTGGGAGGACACAGGAGTCCAGGAATTTATCCATTTCTTCCAGGTTTACTAGTTTATGTGCATAGAGTTGTTTGTAATATTCTCTGATGATGGTTTGAATTTCTGTGGAATCTGTGGTGATTTCCCCTTTATCATTTTTTATTGCATCTATTTGGTTGTTCTCTCTTTTCTTTTTAATCAATCTGGCTAGTGGTCTATTTTGTTGATCTTTTCAAAAAACCAGCTCTTGGATTTATTGATTTTTTGAAGGGTTTTTCGTGTCTCAATCTCCTTCAGTTCAGCTCTGATCTTAGTTATTTCTTGTCATCTGCTGGGTTTTGAGTTTTTTTGATCTTGCTCCTCTAGCTCTTTCAA